TAGATCAAAGGTCTTTCTGGTAATTTGGTCCTGAAAATATCTGATACCACATTCAGATACATTCTTGTTTATATAGATTTTAGAGAAAATTGTATGTAACCTAACTGACATAAAGTTTTGGTGTTTTTTCCAAAGAAGTCAAGATCTTGAATCTATTATCAAAGCGAATGCCAAGACAGACAAAACCAGCAGAAGGTAAGAACTGCTTGGATGTCTTTGAATATTGGTTATTTTCTCCAAGATTAATTGTATGATCTTCTCAGTGATATTGAGGGCATCACATCTTTGAGTCTGTCTTTTATCTTTTGTGTCTAATCCATGGTGTCCTGATCTTTACTTCAAAGAGTCTACAGTATATTCTATCTAAATTTACATTTATATATAGCCCAATAAAATCCTGAAGATTAATTTAACTATATTATTGACAGGTAATTTTATCCTAAAAGTCAATTTAATATCAGTGTAGTAAGTTTCTCCAAACATTTGAATTAATCATCAAGAATATAGAATGTATATATATCTAATATTATGGGAATATTTTGAAACTGACCTAATTTTTTTTTTTTTTATAAAAGAGGTGAAGACCTTGATAATGTTATCAAAGTGAATCAGAAAGGAAATGAAAATACCACTGGGTAAGACTTATCAGCGTCTTTAATTCTGGTTTCTGTAAGTGACGATCAGATGATCAATCAGAAGATAAAATGATTTGGCTTTTTAGCTTTGTAACCATATTTTATTAGCATGGAATTGGGCAATAAAGATGGGCCACACAACTGTCCCTTCTTGCCCTCAATAAAACTGCTTCTTTTTGAAGAATTGTTCCAATGTTTGATAGTAAATTGCCTTTTCTCCCAGACTTCGGGAATTGATTGTTTTTAGGGGTGAGTTACTGAATTGAATATCTTTGTGTCTAAAGAATGCACAGTCTTCACAAAATTTTCAAAGTGGATTTCCAATATGACAAAGAGAGCCAAGAGTGAGCCTTGACCAAAGCTCTTGTAAATCAACTTCTCTAAGGATGGTGGCCCCAGGAGGCAGCCCAGGAGAGAGGCTGGGCAGCTGTGCCCAGGGAGTGAGGACTTCCGATTCTCTGTGTCCTGTTCAGAGATATGCCGACACGGCAGCAGCGCGCAATTGCAATGCTTCTGTTGTCCCTGCTGTCCTTTGGATTTAACTTAGGACCCTTTTGTTATCACTCAGTACATTTTAATGGGGTGGCGTGTGTCCCCCTGGGAAGTGAATCATTAATTTTCCTACTATGTGAGGTATTTTTTCTTGCCCCTTCCTACTCACCACAATCTACCTTGAGGCAGATGATATTTTGACGAGATTTGGGCTGGGGAGATAGTTGAGTTTATATAAAAGCATATAATCTTCTTATTTTTAATATTATTAAATTATTATTCTTACTATTTAAAAACAGAACAGGCAATTGTATCTGATTTGTTGAGTAGAAATTTATATTCTGTCTGAATTCAGTATAGAACTTTTTCTAATATAACTTCAATGCTGCCTGTTCAGAGTGTTCTAACAAGATGTGTCTGAGGGTAAAGTTGATTTTGTTAAATAACAAGTTTCATATATAGTTATGCATTTTTGAGAACAAAATGAAAAAAAAGTATGTTTCTTATTAACAAATAAGCAACCTTAAATGGCCTTCAGCTCAAGATGTAAGAGAAGAATTTTTATTTGCATTTAGTTAGAGCTTTAAAATTTTACATTGATATAAAGAACTTGTATGTTTACTGCTTAATTTTTCCAACCATTATTCACTTGATTAGTGTTTTATTTTAATAACATTCATTAACATTTATTTCCTTATTCAAAGAAAACAAGACCTCGATGAGCTTATTAAAGTCAGTCCTGAAACTAATAAAAATATGAGGAGGTAAGACATTTAAAGCTTCCCCCTCTTTGACGGTTATAAACACATTAGAATTCTGAGTGCTTGTATTCAGAGAATAAATTGAAACTCAAGCCAAAACTGAGCTCTTTTTACTCCTAACACATCATATTAAGCAATTCTATACAAGTGATGCACATAAGTCTCTTCCATCTTATTTTTGGGTGAAGTTTGCTACCAAATAATTTTGAGAAGTTAAATGGAAATTTTGACTGACCTTCTCTACTGAGCTAATCGATTTTTTGTATGTATGTGTGAGTACATGTACGTATATGTATGTACGTCTAAGTAGTGTTTACGTATAAGTGTATGTATATATGTATAAGTTGTGTGTATTTAAGTATGTGTGTATATATAAGTAATGTGCGTATGTATCAATAGTGTGTGTGTATAAGTGCATATGTGTATAAATGTATGTGAGTATTTGTATACATAGCATGTGTGTATGTATATGTGTGGATGTGTAAGCTGTGTGTACATGTACAGTGTATTTGTGTGTAGTGTATGTATCTGTATGTAATCTGTATTTAAAAATGAAGAGCTTAACAAAGTGTACTTTGTTAAAAGAGTTCTCTTACCCGTGAATTGTCAAGTAAGTCTGAAGAGTTTTTATCCCCTTAGCTTTTTATTCTTTAAAAAGCAGATGGAATATTTTTGAAACTGAGCTTGTTGGCGTATTGCTGAAAATAGTGTACCAAATAATTCCATGTGGTTTCCCTTGAACTTTTTCCATTTAGTTAACTCAGTACATGATATTATTTGTTGATTCTAAAATGTGTCACGGATGCCCACAGGCCTAGTTGGCAGAGCAAGGGCTCAGCTAGCCGAAAAGCTGTCGTGCACACTGCCAAGCTGTCCTCTCATGGCTGTGTGGCATGGTCAAAGGCACGGTGACCCAATGAGTTAGAGGCTTGCACAATCTTGCAACCAACAGACTGAGAAGAAAACATTGATTTCCTTGGCTACCTGGGTGGTTCAGGGAGGTAACCTGAGGTAGTGATTTTGAACAGGGAGTTGGAAAGACCTGGGTTCAAATTCTGACTCTGTCACTTGCTAACTGTGTCCCAGTACTTCAATTTACTCATTTACAAAAGAGGGATCATAATACTCTCATGTCCAGTACATAGTAGACATAAGTAATTGTTACAATAATATTCAGGTGAATTATGTTTTCCTAATGCTTTAGATAGTGTTCAAATATTTAGTTTATGTTGATTATCCAAGGAAAATCCATGTTTTCCTTTCTAATTTTTGTTAGAGTATTTCAAATTGTGACCTATTTTTCTTCATATGTTGTTGTATGCATATGTGTGCATACCTATGTGTGTACATATGTGCGTGAATGCACACTGATATTTGTGTGCACGTGTACATCCATATGTGCATATGCTTGTATGCTCATGACTGTGTACACATGTTTGCCTATGTGTATATGTGAGTGCACATGCACATGGGTGTGTGCATGTGTGTGTATCGTACATGTATGTGTGTACATGTGCACAATGCTTGTGTGTTCATGAGTATATGTGTAAGCATGTGTGTATGCTTTTGTATGTATATGAGTGCATGTGTGCATGAATGTGTGTGTACCAGTGTATATTTGAGCATGTGTGTAGTGTGTATACAGGTGTCTGCATTTGTAGGTACGCTTCCTGGGGGATAGCAGTTGTCATTTCCTTTTTCTACACATAATGAGATTCTGTAGATCTTTTAAAAATAAAGTCAAATTATGCTCACTCCCTTATTAAAAACTTTCAGTGTTCTCCCATCTCAGGTAGAATAAAATTCTAACACTTAGTGATGGCCTTTTGCTTTTTCAATAAAGCCCAGCCAAATTGATCTTTATTCCAAGCTCATTCCTGCCTTAAGGCTTCTACACATGCTGTTCTCATTTTTTCGAATGCTCTATCCCCATATTGTCACCTTCTCAAACAGGTCATTTCTGACCACTGAATATAATTATGTCACCACCTCCTCCTGCATCCCCGGTACTACAGGACTGGGCACTCTTTTTTATTTTCTTCACAGCATATGTAGTTATATGGAATTGTGGCATTCATTTATGTTTGATTGCATATCGCCTGCCTCTCCCCAAGTTACACTGGAAGCCTCATGAGGTCTAATCCTGTGTCTGTATGGTTCACATTTATCCCAGCACTGGTGGCAGAGCCTGGCCTGTAGCAGGCTTTCCGAAACAATTCGTGGAGGAAAAGAATGTATAAATACTGAAGACATATACACTATGAGGCATTGCTCCACACAGTTAAATTCAAATATTATTTTACATTATTACATTAATTAGTAGATTACAACATTAATTAACCCACTCTTCTTCACCGACTTTATGAACTATGAAATTTAAATAACCTTATACTGTTACATGCTTTATTAATGTTTAAAGATATCAAAATCTTGACGATATAATCAAAGCAAGCTCCACAACCAACACAAACAAAAGGAGGAGTTCTAATGCTTACTGTTCTGTTATTTTTTTGAATATTCAAATATGGCAATAGCATTCTGGGAATTCTTTTTCTCAGTCACTGGCATTCAAATCCCACATACTTCATTTAGGCAAAAATCAACAAGGGGTAATCTGGAGTAGAGTGGTTGCTTCTGTGGGGCTAATTGTTTCATTATTTGCATGACAAAGGTCCAAATGTTTTATTGCTGCTTTCAGTCTGGGTATCATATTCTCAGACATCTGGATACAAACAAAAAACTTGAATCAACATCTGGTTGATTCAAAATATCTGTATCTTTGATGTTGTACAGACAAAACCTCAGAGACTTTTTGACATGATTCGAGTAGGGTGAGAGAGTATGGAGAAGCAGAATGTGAAAGTATCTTCCTATGGATGTTCTTTTCCCCATGTGGCATCCTCTGTAGATCAGAGCAGTTTTTGTTGGTGCTGCTGGTATGTGGAAAACACATGTAGATGCAATAAAAAAAGCAAAATTCCATTAAGATGAGAAACAGACGTACACTAAAGGGTAATAATAAACTACTGAAGTGTTTTCAGTGACTGCGTGGAGTTTTAGATAACAGATATAGCTTACATTTCAGAATGTTTCAGAACTCTATAGATTTCAATCTTCTTATTTTCTGTTGCCAAAACAAGTCAAAATTTGTAGTTCTAACACACAGTTTTAAGTACCAAAAACAGACACCAGGCTGTATATCATGGATTTTTAACATATTGGTATATTAATCTTAATACAGTTTTATGATAGACAATCTGCTAATGGATGTCAATTTAAAAAAACACAAATTCTCCAAAGTTGGTTTTAAAGTTCCACATGTTGGTTGATAGTAAGAAAGTATGCCTTATTAAATGTTCCATCACTCAAGCGTATAGACTAAGTTACAAAGATGTTTTGTGCATCTGCCAAAGGCTGAAAGCATAGCATTAAGTGCATCAAAATAGAAAGTCCTAGTTCAGTACTCACTAGTGGCCAATGGCTCCGAGATTAAAATGTCTCCCTGAGTCTGAATGAGTTTCAGAGATATATACTTCTGCATAGTCACCTTTAACAGTCTTCAATTATCTGGCGTGATATTAATGAGTGTTCATATTGTTTCTAAGTTTTAATGAATAGTTTTATGCACTTGTTATCAATCTACCATTAACCTCACCATTTTTCCAATGTTTTGAAGGGGACAAAGCCTTGACAATCTTATCAAAGTGACCCCGGAAGTAAATAGAAGTAACCAAGGGTGAGGATTATGCCTTATTTCTCTTCCTTGCCCCTCCCCATCAATTTATGGCACTCATGAGAGAAAATGTATTGAAAAACTTCTGGACTGGAATCAGAAAGTCTGAACTCCATTATTTACCAGCTGGGTGTCTTTGAGCAAGTCTCTTTAACACTGAGTGGAAACTTCTTAAGTTATAAAATGAGGATCATAATGTTTATTTTTTCTTTGTCATTTGATAGTTGTGAGGATTGAATGAAATAATGGATATAAAATTCTATTTAAAACAAAAAGATATTAAAAATGGAAATTATTAACAAAACATAGTTTAGTTATAAGTATAGCATTAGATGTAATGCTTAGAGGGACCAGGTGAGAGTTCTTAGCAAATCATTACATTGTGAATCAATTATTTTTTAAAAACACAA